GCCTTCCAGCATACAAAAATGACTCTATTCAAAGTATTTGATTTTCATACATTTGTCGAATATCCACATTATTACATGACCAAAGTTCTATAAATATGCCATGTTGTGGCAGCAAAGCAACTAAAACAATGCAGACAAATGATCCCTTTGCACTATTGAATGCATCAATTTGTTAGTAACACAATATTATGTATATGGTATATTTAATAATCCTGTGTTTGTGACAACATGCTCCATTCATTATCTGTACCACTTATCCTGAATAGTGTCATGGGGTGGCCAGTCTACATGTCACAGGGCTGACATGTAGGCAAAGAACCACACCAAACCACACTCACTCCTACAGGCATTTCAGAGTCAGCAAGTCAACCTAAGATGCAGGTCTTTGGACTGTGGGACGAAGGCAGAGTGCCCAGAGAGAACCCACACAGGGAGAGCATGCAAACTCCACACAGAAAGGCCCCGGGTCAGCCGGGGCTTGAGCCCAGAACCTTCTTGCTGTGAGGTGACAGTGCTAACCACTGCGCCCGACATGCTCCAATGTTTTGCAAAGATATTTTTATAAATACACCTGAAAGCAATACACTCCATTAGAATTGATTCAATTCAAGTTGAATTCTGTGTGAAAGCAATGGCAGGCACACTTTTATTGGGGCATGTCTTACTGATGCCGGTGAGTATTTTCAGAGCAACAAATTGTGACTTCTGATTACACTGACTATGTGATCCTTTATATTCTGAACTACATTTATTTTGATGTACTGTATATAGGGGTGTTGGTAATAGATAGCTGTGTAAATCAAACTGCATCTAGTGTGCAGCCCAAAAGCTACAAGTGAGCCACCACCACCATCTACTGGATGAACCTGACATAGTAAATATGCAGTATTTTTGTGGATAAGAAACTTATTTAATCCTCGGTTGATCTTTACAATATGCACCCACACACATCAACATATTTCAGTGAATATGATCTAGATTTTACAGTTTTGTGGAATGCATGGTATAGCTTATAATGACAAAGACAATGTCAGAAACAATAATCAAAAGAGCTGTAAATGTACTGTTATTACTCAGTTTAAAATGTATTGCCTTAAACTGTTTGATAAAGAAAAATCATATTACTGTAAACTTTCTTAAATACACCCCTACAACCTAATGTAATCCAATGCAGCTTTCTGTTATAAATACTCTTTATGGTATCCATAATGTTCAGTTATTGTTGACACTGTCACACTAGTGTTCATTAAATTTTATGTTTTAGCACCGAAGTCCCATAGCAGTTAGAGGTGGTGTGGTACTGCACTGTATTATCTAGAGAGGTTTTATTAGTATTCGTTTTCCTTATGTATGTAAATGGAAAGCACAAAAGATTAACTAATATAGATTAAATATTATATAATCCAGTATAGCACCACCTGTGACTACAATTTCAGTAACAATCAATTAATTGAATATACACATATTCCAACAATGTCACCAAAAACTGGTTATAGTATATTGTTCGGTTGTACTGAATAATGTGGCGGCCAACTGTAGTTACAGTAAATGTGCCTAGTGCCACATGCTGATACTGCGAATATGTGAAAAAAATGTTTGCACATTCCTATATACAGTAATTTTTGTCTGTCCATTTATAACTTGCCATTATCTCTTTACTTGTTTATAAAAAGAATGTTTATGAAAATCACTAAAAAGCAACAGAGCCAAACTGATAGCAATCACCCTGCTTGTAATGTACCTCCAGTACATGTACCTGTGTACATGCTTTGGTCAGCCAGCAAAAGGTGCTTTGACTTGTACAACTTTTTTTGGTGCTGAACTCATGTAGCAAAATAATTTAAATAATTTAAAACTCACATGTTATGTAAAGGTGAAGTGTGCATCCTGAAGATACAGTAACAGGATACATTAACAAACATTTTAACAACTTTTAAAACAAGTTTATGTTGGACATTTCAAATATATGAAAAGATGACTGTAGGTTTGCAATGACAAGATTAGGAGACCCTTGCATATAAAATTCTGTCAACAATTTAGGGAACTACCTTTTCTAAATTTTAAATGTACTGTAAAATGCAGCACACTAATTTTCCCAATATGGCCTAAGAATTTGATCATATTTTCTAGCTGCACTTTTGATTACTTGGAACATGCTGTACTGCACTTAGGGAAGCAGGCTGAATCATACCAGTGTCGGTGCAAAGAGATTTACAGATCAACCCTGACAGAGCCATATAATCCAATCAACAAAATGAAAAGTAACCAGATTCTTTCCAGTCACAGCACCAAAGAAAATGGCGAACTATGAACTCATCAGAAAAACAGGATGTTGTTGCAATATGATGCAATATGTATTTGATAAAGGAGGTAGCTGCCTATATACTGTACCATAAACCTTATTCTGTATGCATATGCTGCCAAAGAAAAATAAAGCAACTCAGTGGCTGTCCCTTGATGCAAGTTTTACTATTTATTTTGTGAAAACCCAATACATGAGCATGGCCATTTATAAATACAGTAAGTCATCATGAGAGATGCCTTACATTTAATAACAGAACATTCAAATGGATGGTTCTAGTGGACTTCTACTAGTAACTTCTAATCGCTGTGAATCACATTGATAACACAGTGGCCGCTAACCAGTGAGACATCAGTATGGAAGTAATTCTAGGCTACAGCTGAGATTATTTAAATAGATCACCAGTTTTTTGTACCCTCAGTTCTGTGGGCATAAAATCAGTAGTTAAACAGTTTATCAATGTAACTGAGACTGAAATACTTTAGAAGGCCATTGTACAACATTCATTTACTTACTTTGATTGGTTTAAAGGCTCTTGTGTAATTACACTGGGTTTAAAAAAAATGTGCACAGTTTCTGTGAGAGCCATTTAAGACAACAGAATTACATTGAGAAACTCCTCTGGTGGCTTTGCTCAAGGGCGCTTGCTTAAAAATGACTTTCCTTTGTTATCTAGACTAGCCAAACTAAGAAAAAAACACTTGACATAAAGAATATTGTAGATAAAGTGTGAGCTACTATTTTTCTGCTGCCATGCTTTCCAAAACCTTGGCTCACAAGGTGCAAACCTGGACACCAGGAGCCTAACATGAGACCTTTTTCAGTATGTTCTCCAGACTTCACTTTAAGAATACTGTAGGTAGTACTGCTCCTTTTATCTAAAAAGTTTAAAATTGTAATTTACAAAATGTTAACATTTTAGAAACAAATGTTAAAAACAGAATTGCTTAATTTAGTACAGTGAGTATGAATTATTAGTAGCTATGTTACTGGATGAGAAGTTACTACTATTGTCTATCTCTCAAAGGGTTTGCAAGCTGAACATTTGTGTAAAATGGTGCAGCAACCAATAAGTAACCATGGAGGCACGCAGCTGACTGCTGCGTCGAGCATTCTGTGACACACCGAGGCCTCGTCTCAGTCTTCTGGATTGCCTGCCCAGCCAATCCACTGAGCAAATGCAGTCTAATTAAAAGAGATTGATACATGACTTCCAAATTAGCATGGCCTAGAGCATCTTTGTCTCTTAGGTTCTTAGTTTCTGAAAAAAAAAAAAACAACACTGACGCTGATTAAGGACTATGGTACACTTGAATGAGCCAGCCATTTAGCAGATAAATGCATGAACATGAAACCCTGCGTCCAGGAGTAAAACTAATATTAACGCACTCTTCAGACAAAAATGACACCTCTTTTACAGTAAACTTAGTTTTGAGTTAAGAGGGTAAAAAAGATAAAGGCCTTATGCTTAAATGTTTTGAGAGTCTTTTGGATTGTGTCTTTATACTCCGGTGTCATCTTTGTTTTCAGCAACAGCCAATAGCTGATTTCACAGGAAAAGCTCTGTTGAACCAACACGTTGTGATAAGAACTAAAACATAAAATTCACATTTACCACCTAGCTGGTTAAGAAAGTGTAACATATAACAGCTTAAGAGCAAGCCTGTACTGTAGATTTGGGTATCTGCATTTGCATTCTTGTTAATGGTTGTGATTATTCTTTTATTTCCAGATGTTTAAATCATTCATTGTCCATTTTGTGGCATGGGTATTTTAGTGTAAAGGAGCCATAGATAGGTGAGGATCCTAAATAGTACTCTGCCATTGTCTGCTCGTGCTGTACTTTGGGAAGCAGGTTGCAAAGAGATTTACAGATCAAACCTGACGGAGCCACATAATCCAATCAACAAAAAGAAAAGTACCCAGATTCTTTACAATCATAGCACCAAAAAGTGGTGAACTATGAACTCAATATATAAATAAAAAGAAGCAACAGTATGTTGTCATGCTGTCATGCAAAATGTATTTACTACAGGTTGTGGTCAGCTATGAAGTCATGTGTCTTAGAGTTAAGAGGGTTAAACTGTTTCAACCTTAAAAAGAAAAACCCTGATCAGTCTCATGAAGGTCCTATGTTTACAGCTTATGCTTACATGTTTTGAGGTTCTTTCGGCTTGAGTTCGACAGGTAGGTGTTTTCAGAGAACCAATATTTGAACCAACACTATCTGACTAGCGCTAAATGCCTGACATCAAGCATCTAGTTGGATAAAGTGGAACAAACAGCATCTTAACAGCCAAATATTTTTTCTCAGGAGTTGTTGGAGACCACAGCAGATAAAAGGAAAGTAGTTTGAACTTAGAGCCATCATACTGTATGTGCAGAAAATGACATCAAAATGTATCCTTACATGTGCATGTTAGAATGTTTTCTGTCATTCTTACAAGTTTGGCCTAGGCCCGCATTTAGCTACAAACCTAATTAACTCAGAGAGAGGAAACCCAACCAACGTAATACCAGTGTAATCCTGAGGCCACACTAATCACCTTTCTCATACGCAAACTAGAGCTTTACAATCCTATAGGGTTATAAAAAAAGACTTAAGCATATGTGATGCCTATTTCAAGCCTGGCTTTTCCATTGTGGAGTATATACTCAATGACTACAGGACTATGGGCTGGTAAATTACAAGCCAGACATGGGACAGACACAGCAACCAGAGAACAGTGCGGAGATTGATGTCTAAGCACTTCAGGATATGTATAAAAAGTTTGTCATCGAATGCCCAAGTGGACAACTTTTTCTACATGAGTTCAAGCGTTTCTTTGGTGTGGATCCAACAGGAGAAGCATCTGATTATGCGGAGAACTTGTTTCGAGCGTTTGACAAAAATGGGGTGAGAAATTCAAAGCTGCCACAGACTGGCTTCCTATACATCTTTACCAAAGTGTGAAAATGTAACCCAGTTATCATTCAACCTATCTTTCAGGACAACACAATTGATTTCCTTGAGTTTGTGGCAGCGTTGAATCTTGTTTTCCGGGGAGACTTGGAACACAAACTGCGATGGTCATTCAAGGTGTATGACAAAGACAGCAATGGCTATGTGGACAGGGATGAACTACGGTCAATAATTGATGTAAGTCTATAAGACAATCTGGGTGTTTGGTGCATGAAAGTTTGATTTAATTTCAAACATAAGCAGCAAATGACAGCAGCTCATTGTATGATATTTTCAATGTCTTCACCTAGAATATAATGTTTTTTCCTATTGTTCAGCTCTTCACAACAAGCTGTGGACATTCCCTCATATTAACTGCCATTTTGATTTTTGACCCCTCACGGTACTTCTCAAATGAGTAAATTGAGTTTGACTATAAAAAAATCCTTGACTGTTTTTGAACTTTGTTTTATACTCACCCCTCGTTCCCCCTATACTATATCTGTGTAGGCCTCAAAATAAAAAAAGTTGAAGACAGAATAAAAAAAAATCTCTATAAGAAGAAAATATGCATTTAAGTTACACTATATACAATTTAGGTGGCTGGAGATATGCCTTTAAATGATCTTGTTGAGTTGGTATTTACTATAGCTACACCACTGTTTCAATCTAATCAAGCTAGTTACAGGTGTGACAGCAAATGTGAAAATGTGCAAGTCTTTTCATATATACAGAGCATATACAGTACATATGAAAGGCATCAGTAGATAAAAAAGGCAAAGTAAGCAGCAGTACAAATGTTCAATTATCAGTCTACATAAATTGCAACCTTGTTCAGTCACTTCTTGCATCATGCATCACATCACCATGTGCAGAACCCTATGCCAAAAAGATTTAGCATTTTTTGCATAAATACAGCATTTCTCTTTCTTTTCACCATCTAGAGCATCTTTCGAGTAAATAAAGGCACAAAGATACAACTGACCGATTCACAGTGCACATTAGATGAGGTAGTGGATCGAATATTACAGGCCGTCGACACTGATGGGGATGGTAAGTGTTTAGTCACATGCCACATCTACACGGCAGTGAAAAGCATTGCTGGATCAACAATAAACAGAGGATATTTTGTTTAATCAGCAGAATATTGATTCTGCATTGACTTCTTCTTTTTTTTTTTAACTTTTGTTCCACAGGTCAAATTAACATGGAAGAGTTTTTTAGAGGTGCGCAGCAGGATCCCTGGCTGCTCAGCGTGTTTAAGTTGGACATGAACCCTGCTGGATGGGTGCTGGAGCAGAGAAGAAAGAGTGCACACTTCTGATATGTCAAAGCGCATGGTCCTTTCCAAATGCTGAAAATGTGAGAACAGTCATAGCTAAAACAACCTACTGTAAATGAGAGTAAGAGGTCACTGACTGAATCTACAAAAATGGTAACCATTTAATTTATAGGTTACAATTAATGGCCTGTAAATTTAAAGGTTAGCATAAAAATGGCCTGTAATATTATAGAAATTACAACATGAAAGCTGTAATTTGCGTTATTAAGCAATATATACTGTATATACAAGTGTCAGTGAGGTATGATTGTTATGCTTGTTTTTCTAATGCTGTTCCATTGTTTATGTTTGCTTTCAATCAAACTATATAGCATCTTTCATACAAAACATCGACAACACAGCATGGTAAAATGTCCTGGGAGATTAGTACTGAAATTAAGTTTTAATTAATGACTAAAAGATCTTAGTCAGAACCCATGCTGCAGAACATTGGATTATTTTTAGTGGATTTTCTCCGTTTTTGACAGACCAGAAAGGAGAGCATTACTGTAGTCTAGCCAGCCAGTTAAAAGAGCATACATTAGACTCTCTGTGTTACTGAGAGAGAGAAATTGCCTTACTTTAGAGATGTTCTTCAAATAATAATGCTGTTTTGTGACACCCTGCACTTATGCTTTCAAATTAAAATCACAATCAAAAATCACCCCAAGATTTCTTGCCTCTTTGCTTGGGATAAGTCCATCTGTATTTAGTTTAGAGGCCAGTTTCCCTCTCTGAGTATTTGAACCACTGATCGGCATTTCTGTTTTATCCTGGTTTAACTGCAGAAAGGTATGTGACATCCAGGTATTTATATCTAGAATACAGTTTAAAAAGTAAGTCTATTTGCTTGGTGTCATCAGGAGACATGGCCACATAAAGCTGAGTATTATCAACATAGCAATTGAAAGAGATGCCATCCCTAGAAGTAGCATACAGTATATAAATAAAAAAATGGCGGCCCTAATATTGAACCTTGGGGGCGCCATAGGTAGCCTCATAGCACTTTGAGGAGTGGTCATCGGAATTTTCTTCTGCTTAAATAAGAGGCAAACCAGTTACAAACCATTCCAGGAAGGCAAGCATTTTCACATAACCTATTTAAAATAAACTAATTGTTTACAGTATCAGAACTCAAGGCTTGCTGGTGTCCAGATTTATTATGTCATACATTACTTTTAGCAGGGTTCTCTTTCTGCAGTGTGTCCTAAAGCCTGACTGAAACATTTCTAATTCAGTGGATTTTAACTACAAATGCGAGATTTGATATTGGTATCGGTGTTAAAATATATACAGTCTTATGCAAAAGTTTAGGCACCCCTTGATAAATAACAGATTTTGGTGATTTTTTATTTGAACAGATGTTAACACAGTTTCTCTTGGAAATGGAAAAAATGCACAATATTTTCAGCAAACAGTGATGCATAGTTACTTCTTATGCCATAAATTGAACAAAAATAAAAAATAAAAACATTATTATGGCATGGTGCAAAAGTTTGGGCACCCTAAGAGTTCCAGAGTCTCAAAGTCTCTCACAAGGTATCAGACCTTAATCAGCTCGTTAGATCTGATGCACAGCAACAGCTGTCATTGGTAAATGCCAATTTCAAAGCTGTACAAATACTTTGACTCTTCAAACCTTGTGCACACACTTGTGGACACCCAGCAACCATGGGTTCCTCTAAGCAGCTGTGTAAGACCCTGAAAATGAAAGTTATTGATGCCCACAATGCAGGAGAAGGCTACAAGAAGATAGCAAAGCGTTGTCAGCTTGCAGTTTCCACAGTAAGAAATGTAATTAAGAGATGGCAGATCAGGGGAACTGTGGAGGTCAAGATGAGATCTGGAAGACCAAGAAAACTCTCGGACAGAACTGCTCGTATGCTGGTCAGAAAGACAAATCAAAACCCCCATTTGACTGCAAAAAACCTGCAGGAAGATTTAGCAGACTCAGGAGTGGTGGTGCACCGTTCCACTGTGCAGCGATGCTTGCACAGACAAGGCCTTCATGGAAGAGTCAGCAGAAGAAAACCTTATCTGCGTCCCCATCATAAAATCCAACGTCTGAAGTATGCAACAGGACATCTACAGAAGCCCGATGCGTTTTGGAAACAAGTGCTGTGGACTGATGAAGTTAAAATAGAACTCTTTGGACACAATCAGCAAAGGCATGTTTGGAGAAAAAAAGGAGCAGCATTTCATGAAAAGAACACCTTGCCAACTATTAAGCATGGGGGTGGATCTATCATGCTCTGGGGTTGTGTTGCAGCCAGTGGCACAGGAAACATTGCACGGGTGGAGGGAAGAATGGATTCCACTAAATACCAGCAAATTCTGGAAGCAAACATCACACCATCTGTAAAAAAGCTGAAGCTGAAAAGAGGATGGCTTCTACAACAGGACAATGATCCTAAACATACCTCGAAATCCACTATGGAATACCTCAAGAGACGCAGGCTGAAGGTTTTGGAATGGCCATCACAGTCCCCTGATTTAAACATCATTGAAAATTTGTGGGTAGATCTTAAAAGAGCTGTGCATGCAAGACGACCAAAGAATATTACAGAACTAGAAGCCTTTTGCAAGGAAGAATGGGAGAAGATCCCAAGTACAAGAATTGAAAGACTTTTATTTTCTTTAAGAGAAGTTTAAACAAATCAGTGGAGAAGATACCAAGCTGTATGGAGAAATTTGCTATGGTAAAAATGACAGATTCAGAATTAAAAGGAGAAGTATGAACTGGGTCAAGGGGATAAGCAGGGGGCTTCATTTCTGTTGCCACTGTCACTGTAAGTAAACCTGGTTGAAATATTCCAACTTGACATCATTAGAGGGAATAAAGACATAGCAGCAATATGTTTGTACACCATGCACAATCAAAAAACATATATTATAATAACATTAATTACATCCACAGCCTCAATGAACCTTGTAAATATTTGTTCTGTCCAGTGTGTAATTTGGGATGAATATGTCACGCTCCTGCCCCTCTTGCTTCCTGTCAGGCTTTTATTTTCTCATCACTTCCTGTTTTGTTTCACCTCACTTTTGGCCCTTTTATTTAATCATCATTAGTTCACCTGCTCCTTATTGTTTGCACCTG